TAAAATATAAGCTCTTAAATATGACAAATATTGAGCCTACTTAGTAACAAAAAATAGTGGATGTTCTATCTAAGCATGACAACAACCAAGATAATTGAAAGTTTAGTGTTATTATGTATCTCGTTTTTTTATATTAATTTCGTATCAAAATAGTCATCTAGATACCATGTATTCTAAGACAAGTTAACTACAAATAGAAGAAAATTAAAGATAGATAAATTATGTAGTTAAATAATAAAATTTATCGCTAATCCTACTTAGTGACAGAATCAGTTATATATTATAAAAAATCCTATTAGCTACAAGATGAATTTACTAACTAATTCTTGTTTTATAAAGTTAAATTATGTAGCAAAATTTCTCAGTAATAATATTAATTTTTGTTTGACCAAAAAATAAAAGTCTTTTTCCATCTATTTTATTTTAACATATGCATTGAGGTAATTTAGGTACTTTTATAAATTAAATTATGATAATTAGTTTCTTATCACAAATTAATGATTACTATTTTTTTCAACAATAATTACTATTTCAAAACTTAATGCCATAGTAAATTTTAACGAATTTAACAACCAAGCTTCTAATAAAATACTTGTGATTTAAATTTTAAAAACAACAAATAAATCATATGAAAGGAAAAATTGGTCTTTTTGATTAAACAAGGACAAAGAAAAAAAATACCACATAAAACGTGAAGTTTCCTTGTCAGAAACCAACAAAAATCTTTCCTCCTACCTTTTTTGTATTCTTTTATGTCTTAATATATTGTATCCTTATTAGGAGAAGATATCAAACACTAAATTATATTAGATTTTATTTATTTATTTAGAACTCCTAAATATAAGGAAAGTTTTTTGATTTTACAATTTTATCCAATGTAAACTTTGTTTTTAAAGGGTAAAAAAGGCAAACGACATTTCGCTAAGGGTCTTCGTGCTTTTAATATAGTATAAACAGATATAGATAGATATAGATAAATAGACAGACAGACGGGAAAGGATACCCCTTACCTTTCGAATGGGGAAGGATCCCAAAGTGTAAAATGGACTACCATTTCGAACTCAAGAAAAAACTCTGGCAATGAATTATTCTTACATTACTAATGGCAATTGGAAGTGGTTAGAGGTGCAAAATGCAAAGAAACCATTTATAAACTACCCACTATCTAACTGATCTCCTACATCAATCACAGTGCATGTAACTGGAATTGAAAGTCAATGAAGAACATAATTAAGATGCACATTAATTAATTGATATAGAAAGCTTCACCACACGCCTCACCATGCTGCTGCACAACACGTAAGTCCTTGAGACGCTTAACAACTTCTTTCATTTCTGGCCTTTTCTTTTGTTTATATTCTATACACTGCATTGCAAGTTTTGTAATTGTAGGTCCATCACGAGGATCAAAGCCTGGATCAGCCTCAAGACTTTGGTGGACAAGTGAACACCCGCACTTGTACTCTCTTTTTGTAATCTGAAGTTCAAATCCTGGATCAGCCTCAAGACTTTGGTGGACAAGTGAACACCTGCGCTTGTACTCTCTCACGCCCCACAAACCGACATGTGTGTTTCTAGCGTTTTTCCAATCAACAACTCTTTTGCTCATAAGACTTAGGAGAACAATCCCAAATGCGTAAACATCAGATTTGAGTGACCACTTAACTACAATACATTTTATATAAATGGTCAGTGCCCACAATAAGACAGAGAAGAAAAGGAATTACAAAATGGACTCTTACTGCTCATCAAAGCATTGCATTTGCTATTAGCAGCACTTCAAAGACTACTACTAGTATAGAGTCAATCCTTTAAAAGGAAAAGACATGAAATAGAAACGGTTTCAAAAAATTGCATAGCAGACATCTAATAGGAAAACATAATATAGTATTAAATAATACTTTATTTTTAAAACCGAGAAATCCCACGGAGCCAGTAGGTCACCGTTCTAAATTCGGTGGTTAATGGACTCGCCCCTCTATCCCACGCTTTTCCCTACGGCAAGTTTTGAACCCGTGAAGTGCGGCTAACCCATACATCAGGGATAGTTCCAGTTAATATATTTCTATGTGAAACTCAAGAATATATTTGTTCATAATGTTAAGAAAGAAAAGAAACGAGTGTGAAAAATGGTTCATTCTAAACACAAAACTGATGTAAATCATTTGCCTCTTTTAAATTCTCTTTCCTTCCACACTCTTCATTTCAAACATAATGTCAACCTTTGTTACAGCAAATAGTCAACCCGAGAAGAACAACAGCTCCAAGAGGTTTATTGAGAAATGTGCCAAAAACTTCAAAAGAAGCAAAGTCATGGGACACCTCTAAGAGAAAACATTACCTTAAACATCATTTGACAGTGAGCATAACGCTAATTTGCTAGCGCATATTTGATGGAAACAAAAGAAGAGAGTCAGTTGCATACCGCATTCAGCAACGGATGGATCAATGTAGCCACACGTACCAATCCTGAGGTCTTCCTCATTGATTTTAGTATCCAAACCCTCTCCAACTAACATACCAAACTCAAACAAAATTGGGGTGAAATTCTGGAGAGATGAAACACAAATATATATTCAAGTCACATACGAATTACTGAATACAGCATAACAGAATCTTGACAACCAATATTGATGCGAAGTACACCAAGTAAACGACAAAATTTAGTTACAATATTGTACCTGGTCAACCGCTACGTGAGCTGGATCAAAGTTGCAAAGCATGTATGACGAATTCCCATCATGCAGATAATTAAGCAAGCTAGCTAATGCAAGGGCAGTCTTAACCCTCTGCAGCCATTTGAAGTCATCTGGACAAGCAAAGCAAAATGTTACTGGATTGTTTGTATCAAAGGACTAGAAATGCCTACAGATTCTTTGCTCAAAGGACTCACTATGGCCTTGGTTTGAACCCAAACATAAGCTAGACCAAACAGCAGAAAATATATAAGGTTGAATCTGCATAAAAGATGAGTAAAATGTGAGAGAAGAAGGCACCTCGAATAATGAAGTTATGCAAGGTGTCCTGTGGATTTAGATCATAAACGATACCCAGAGTTCTCCCCTCGCGACAACATCCAATCACTTTCACTAAGTTAGGATTGCCCCTAAACCTTGGAGCTTGAGTTCATCCTACCAGCACAAGGAATCTTTCAGAGTAAGCATAAACTAAGGAAACAATCGGTTAAGGCAAGGAAGCAAAAGCATGAGCGTGCATATACACATAGAGACAAACACCAACCTCTAATCTTGTCAGTTTGTCATAGCTAAGATCAAAATGTCGCATTTCATCAACCATAATCTTGACAGCGACATCCTTGGTAATTTTATCTTGATCAGAACCAATGGACATTTTCCCACGATAGAGCTTCCCAAACTGGGTGAGTCCGATAAAATTCTCTGGAGAAAATTGACGCGTAAACAGATTCAGTTCCTCCCAACTGAGATCAAGAAGATCATTCTTCACGGAGAATTCCTCCTCAACAAGCTGATCCTCCTCCTTAACATGATCATCCTCCTCAACATGATCATTCTTAACAGGGCATTTCTTTCGTATCACATATTGATTCACAGAATACTGCTAGGAGTTATCTGGTTACTAGTACAAGAGATAATTATTTAGGGATAAAATGTGGGATTATTTTATCCTACATTTAGTTGAATTTTCTTTATCCGATAAGCAATCCCGAGATTATTTATGCCAAAATTATGGTATTACTTCTTTATTACAAATTATGTGGGACAAGAATTCCAGAATAACTAATCTCGAAATAAAAATAACAAAATAATATATATGCCCTTCTCTAAAGCTCTTCTCCCAAAATATTTCTAGAAAGTCAAGTTTAACCGAATACGTGCTTTACATTACACTTGGTATATCCCATTTTTAGTGCAATGATCGAAACATTTATCAATAATAGTATATTCACTAAGTCATTACTTAATCGGGTATTATAATCTCAACATCATAATTCCAATATAAACTGGTTCACGGACAGAACACAGCCCCTTAGAAATAAAGATACTCTATCATCTGAACAGTAACCCCTGTTATTGTTTACTCTCTTATAGAAACCGGTGGAGGTGAAAGAGCTAATTAATTGCAATCCATAGCAAGAGCAACTTTTCAGTTTCAAAAGTTTATCCATTCCACAAAAATTGCTTATTTGAATCCATGCCTCCATTACCCGCCAATCGAAACAAACAATCAATAATGAAAAAAATGCAATTATAAAAACTCATAGAAAAGCAAATACATCAGCCTGATTTAAAAGAAGATATAAATCTCAATTATCATATATAGATGGAAGATACTCACCAGAGCAAGGCATTATGTTTTTCCAGTTAAAATTGTGGCGAAAGGGAAAGAAAATACTAGGAATTTTTTTTTTTGCTGAAGAGTAAAATAGTGGTCTATTTAATCGCATGGAAGGCGGCATTCTGCAAGGTAACTACGTGGAACTTTCCAATGGGAAAATTTGCCATTAATTGAACAAATCAGGTAGCGTTATATTAGGATGCTGATAAAATATCAAAAACCTTCTATTTATACTTAGATCATTTGATATCCAAAATTGCCTTTCAGAAGTTATTCTCTTAATTTATTCCAGAGTAAAATGAGAAATGACCCTTTTATTACATTTTGGGGAAATCAACAAATAATCAAATATTTTTGTTATCATAAATATGATCTATTAACGTATCTTAACTACAAAAAAAGGCATGAAATTGCGGCGGTTCCTTAAAACCGCCATAAATATAATAATATTGTGGCAGTTATCCATCCGTCATATTGAACATTCCAAAGCGGCGGTTTAATTTATGTTGAGGCGGGCTTTAACCGCGTCTATTTTTATTTTGATTTTAAACATATTTTTAGCTTTATTCCCAAGGCGCTAATAATACCCCAGCAATCACAAATTAGGTATCCCCTATTATTTGTCTGAACAATTTAGAGGTTGTTGCTGTGCATGTCTGGTAAAACCTATATTTGACCAAAAGATTACAATACTGCTTTATTTGTCTTTGTTTTTATGTTCAAGAAAAGACAGTTAATCTAATAATTAGTATTTTCTCACAATTTAAAAGATGGAAAAAGTAAGCTTTACATGGATGATTTTGTCGAAGGACCTAACATGAGCTTCAATTCTTTGAGTACATATGTCTGGTAGATTCTCAAACCATGAGATGTTCAGTTAGTTGGATGGAAGTGCTTAGAGTTGCCTTAACTAACATTCCTTTTATTTATGGTTTGACTGCTATTCCAAATCCTCTCAAATTCAAAAAGAAAAAGAAAATCCCTTGTTAGGCGCTTTCATTATGTTGTAAAATTCAGGTCATTATCGTGTGACTACTTTGCTTATGTGTATCAATGTTAAAATGTTAAATTGTGATAGCACGCTGAAATAAACACTTTTTTAGTTATTTATTTTATATGTTTGATCCCTTTATGAATGTTTGAGAACCTTATCAGTGCTACTTTCGGCCGTGAAAAGTGTACTGAAATTCCTCTTCTTCTTCTTTCTATTTTCTGCCTTTGGTTTTGATCTTTATTTGTTTCCGATTTCATGCTGAAGTTTTGAGGAGCATGATAAATTAGTTAAATTTCATGTCTACTTTTTGGTGTGAGTTATAAGCATAACAACACGGTTGAAGTTGCTATCAGCATTCTTCATTTTGAATAATTAGAGCTGCATTACGTGTCTGGAATTATTCTTCCGATCATTGCATCCCACCCCCCTCCCAAAAAAAAGCTGCAAGCAGACTAATAGAACATGAGAAGAAGATGGTGGAGATAATGAGAAATATGATGTGTTATTTAAGTAGTTTGAAATCTATACTCAGACATTAAGATTGATGAAGAGCTCATACGTGCTAATTTTAAAACTTCCCAAAAAATTGATATGTCAGTTTATGTTATGCATTGTTCAGGTTCCTCGCAACCTTTGTCATATCAGCTCGTTCGACTTTTCGTTTGGGAAGACAATGTAAGTAATGCGAAGACATGATCAGTACTCAGATATGCAAAGGTTTTTTTCAATTACTTTAATCCGCTAGATTAGACAATTGGGTCAATTGTTGGATTCTTCTTAGCTTTAATTTGGGCTTCCTGTTGAATTGGCATTCACATTTAATTTGAGTTGATCAATAACTTTTGTGTTCTCTGAGTTATATGGTGCCCATTATTAGGAGTTGAGTTAGACTGAAAGAGTATTTGCTTCTTACCCACATTTTCATATTTAACTCTCTTCATGTGAAGCAATCTTTTAATGCAGGGAACAAGAAATTAGAGTTGCTGAGGGAATGATCTTTGGAAAAAGAAATTATGCGAGATGAAGATGAGTTTTAGAAATTAGTTATAAGATCTCCCCAAATAGAATGTCATGATAAAATACATAGCATTTTTGATATTTTTATCGATGTTGAGAAGGAAAGCTCAATGCAATGTTGCAAAGATTGACTATGGTTGTTTATACTGTTATTGAACAATTCTTTGGAATTCTAATTCATTTGATGGTGTAAATATTGAGGTACCTGTACCATTTTTAAATAATAAATATTTTATTTAATTGATGTTTGTATTTGTGTCAAAGTTACTCTAAAGTATTAAGCAAGTTTGGATGCATTGATGTGATAAAAAGGATTAAATATAAGTACACAAATAAATTATAATTAAAATAGTTAGACCACAATTGTGTCGGTCTTGACCGCCAGTTTGAACATAAATGGAACACATTGCGGCGGTTTCTAACAGCAGTAGTTACACAAACAAAAACCGCCAGTGTATCAAATATAAGATTATGGCGGTTTTGCAAGAACCACCGTAATATGTTTTTGGCGAACGTGATCCTGGCGTTTTCTAAAGCCGCCATTATATGCTATTGTGGCGGTTTTAAACCACCATTATACGCTAAAATAACCGCCATTATACGTTATTGTGGCGGTTTTAAACCGCCATTATACGCTAAAATAGCCGCCATTATACGTTATTGTGGCGGTTTTAAACCGCCATTATACGCTAAAATAACCGCCGTAATAACATTTTTTTTTTGTAGTACTTATGAGATAAATTTCTTAGTAACATATGATAGTTATTTTTTTCATCGTCTGACAATAATTTTTCATTGATGTACGCTTTCAAGATTAACTGAATTTAATAATTAAACATAAAAATCAGTATGATAGCTATATAATGATATGTTCTGTTTAATTATAAATTTTCGAAATACTACTTCAAATTCAAAAAAGATATAAGAATTTAATAGATCTTGACATATGAATATGAAAGAACACAAAAATTGACGCATTTCACTGGTACTTGACAAGAAAGTGATCATAGAACCCATTATTTAAAGATAATAAAAATAGAGCACTTCATATTTAACTAAATATTACATCCAATAAGAAAATCACAAATATTTCTAGATATTTTTTAAAGAAATTTTTATGAAATATCTTAAGAGTACATATAAAAATTATATATTTATATGTCGGTTCGGTTCGGGTTTTTTTACTCAATACCAAACTAAATCAAACCAAACCTAATAGGATTTTTAATGGGAAATTACCAGCTATGTCCATTTATAAGTAGCTCATTACAAAAATTGGTCAATTGATAAAATATTACTAATATTAGCCAAATTAGCCAATTAGCTATTTGTAGCAAAAAATATCAAATTTTTGCTTTGTTTTGAGTGGGTGTTATTAGAATAGATTGGGCACAACTTAAGGAGCTTGAATCTCAGTTTTGGAATGATTTGGTGAAGTTTTGAGGTGGTTGAAATTGAAAATTCGAAATAAAAGCTGATGCTTGCTCAGGAAATTGTTCAAGGAATCAAGAAACCAAACATTGGTGCAAATGTTGTGATCAAACTGGATATGGCAAAAGCATATGATAGAGTGTCTTGGTCCTTCACCTGCATCATGTTGAGAAGACTTGGGTTCAGTGAATTTCTCATAGACATGGTTTGGAGAACCCTTTCAAACAACTAGTATACAGTCATTGTAAATGGAACAATATGTGGTTTCTTTCACTCAACTAGATCCCCTTGCCCCAGCTTTGTTCATCCTTGGTGCTGAATTACTATCAAGGATGCTAAACAATCTCACTCATGATCAGTTCTTTAATGGCTTCTACATGGAGAGAAGAGGTCCACAGATAACTCACCTGAGCTTTGCTGATGACATTATCATTTTCACATCTGGCAGCAGATATTCCCTTCAGAAAGTTATGGAAATTCTGCAAGCTTATGAAAGCACCTCAGGCCAGTTGATCAACCAGAACAAAAGCCATTTCATGACTTCTCCATGTGCTTTTCCTTACACTATCAAAAGGATTCAGCAGATTACTGGGTTCACAAAGAAAGAATCTCCTCTTACATACTTGGGATGTCCTCTGTATACAGGAAGAAAGAGGATTGTTCATTTCAACCCCATCATTTCCAAAGTTGTGAGCAGAATTAGAGGTTGGCATGGTAAACTCTTATCATATGGGGGCAGAGCTACTTTGATCAAACATGTGCTACAATCCCTTCCCATCCACCTTCTGTCTGCTGTCTCCCCTCCCAAAACTGTGGTAAAACAAATAGAAAGGCTAGCTGCTAATTTCTTCTGGGGTATGGAAAAGGATAAAAACAAGTATCATTGGGCTTCCTGGCAATCCAATACTCTAGATGAAGGTGGCATTGGCTTCAAATGCATTGAGGATGTTTGCAGATCCCTGGAATTCAAGCAATGGTGGTGGTTCAGAACTAAGCAAACATTGTGGAGTGATTTTCTGAAAGCAAAGTACTGTCAAAGATCTCACCCTATCTCTAAAATGTGGAAATCAGGCCAATCTCAAACATGGAAAAGAATGATGTCAAACAAGAAAGAAGCTGATCCCCAGATCAAATGGATCCTTCATTCTGGAACCTGCAGTTTCTGGTGGGACAATTGGCTTGGTAATGGAAATCTAGCGAGTTTCAGACAACAGGGAGGAAGACCTGGTAACACTACAGTCTCTGTCTTCTGGAACTCAGGATCCTGGGACATTCAGAAGCTTAATGGTGTAGCCCCCTCTCACATGATCCCTGATATTCTCCAAATTCCCATCCATTTCAATCCTCTCATTCCTAATAGGCCAATTTGGACACCTACAGCTAATGGAAATTTCTCATGTGCCTCTGCCTGGAATGTCATCAGGCAAAAAAAAGCCATTCTCTTCTCCAACAAGCTCACATGGCATAAAAGGATCCCCTTTAAATGGTCCTTTTGTCTGTGGAGAGCTCTCAGAAATAAATTGCCTACAGATGACAGGGTGACAAGGTTCAGCTCCCCCACTGTCAACAAATGTGTATGCTGCATAAAACCAGGAGCAGAAACTGTGGATCA